ATAAACAACCCCTATGCTTTTGCAGTGGAATCGGCTCCTTGGTGGTTTTTTGGAGATTTAAGGACTGGGCACAACATAGTCAAATGCCTGGAATTCCTCTCTCTTCTAATTTGAGTTCCCCTCAAATCAGGGGTGTGGCTTTATGGCTCAGAGTAAGGATCTCACCTGTTTAAAGGGAAGTCAGGGCATTGTACAACTGGCAACTGCTGTCCCTGGGTCTCCCAAGGCAGAGAGCCCTGGCAGGGCCGGGGCAGGCCCTCTTTTGAAGGGAGGCCTCCTCATAAGCACTAAGGGACGTCATCTGGCCTCCAATTAGGGTGTAGGTCTCCTGCTACTTCAGAAATGGGGCTGCTCCTTTAAATCATAGCCCTTCAGTCCTGAAGACTTTTCAGGCATTGAGGCCAGAGGGAGGGTGAGACTTTGTAGTGTCTCCTGTATTCTGGGTTAGGTGGTCCAGTCAGTCAAAATTCAGGGTCCCCACCTTAAATTCTGAGCAATCCTGAGACTTCACTGTGATGCTGAGTTCGTGCAGCTCAATGCAGAGGCAGCACCTTTCCGGAAATTCAGTCGCAAAAGGCAGGATTGCAGGGTATGATACATCCCACCAAGGTTGTCGGGGGGAGTTTAACAGGGCAAGGCTTTGGGGAACCCCTGAAGGGCAATACTGGGGTGGGCTGGGGCTCTTGGAAACCCAAAATGTTGGATCTGTTGATCACTTAGTGGTTACTCAGAGTCCTCACCTTGATATGCATCAGAGCCAGGGGTTCCTTCCTATACAGTCCGCCGTCGCAGGTTTGTCATGTTAGGGAGGCTCTCAAAGGCCTCAGACAGTGCATGCCGCATGGCTACCTTCTGTGGTCTCACAGGGGTGCTACTGGGTCAGTGCTCTGGGCAGAGCATCTCTGGGGAGTCGTATTTCCAATTAGCACTCAAAGACCACACCTTGCCACATTAGGAGCAAGACTCCTTCCTCTACAGAACTTAGGCTGACCCCATTAGATCAAGGTGTTCCCTGCCTGATACCTTCCTTCTGTGCCTCAATGAGGGGACACTTCTGGCCAGTAGTTCTAAATGGTGCCTCCCCTGGCCAAAACTGGAGCTGAGCTCTGAAGGGCCTTTCAGTTGGTGAGAGTCACCTCAAAAGACAGTCTTCATTTGGATTCCTGTTAGGTCCTAG